TGAATCTTTTTATGAACGTGCCGTGGATCCTCCTGTCACAAAGATATTTTAGTCCAGGTAACTGAAATCCATCAGTTTAAATTCTTTCTGTGTATCTGTTTCTTTAGTTTTCTTCTTCCTGGCATGGGGAAGAGAAGAAATTCATTTAAACATCTGTATTAAATTCAATAAATTTTCGATACTCAAGATTTGGTGTCTGGCAATAATACATCACTAAAGCATTAGAAAATTGTAGCATTTCTTCTGGTTTATTTTTAGAATGGGGAAGTGCTTGGGATGACTGTCCAGAGACTCTTGGTCTCAGTTACATCATTTCCTCCTTTAGTGAGTGTTCGCAGAAATACAACCTCAGGAGGATGATATATAAGTAGTTTTATCCTATAATTATGAAGATGGGTACTAGCATCAATGCACAATGTCTGTGCAGCTGGAGGCAAGCCAGGTACCATATCTGTTTCTGTAAAATCATTTGCGTGGATGTTTTTTGTCATTGTTACTGGGGAAAAGTAATGCTTTTGTACCCAGACCAGATGATGATGGTGATCAAGCTGTACGTCACTAGTGGAATCTGGGCTGTTTTACCCGTGTGAAATCAAGTAGTGATTATCCCTCTGTAGGCGCCAGCGCTCATTAAAGATCTCTTCACTGTTCAAAAAGAGTTTGGAAAAGTTGGCTCAACAATGTACAGAAGTACACTCCACAACACTGTCAGGGTGTGAAGTAAATGGTACTGCTGTGATTGATGCAGCAGGTGAGGAGTCTGAGAGTGCCTTTTTACTAGATGTATTCACAACCATTTCAGTACAACTAAATGTAATTCATTACTCACTTGAGAGAGAGAATATAAAAAGCATTATAAAAATCCAAGCCAACATAATTTGATCTTGGCACAGATTGCTGAATTGGTCTGTTTCCAAAAAGAACAGACAAGTTAAATTGAGAATAGGCAGCACTATGGTTATTAAATTAGCTTTAAATCAGCCCTACTCATTTACAAATCTCTGCTAGTGCTTGCAGGGAGAAATTCGCTAATCTCAACATCGCTGCTGCTGTCTGCCTGTGATGAGAAAACTGAGCAGTCATTCCACGCCTTCTAGAGATAAACTGCTAACTAAACGGGCTGCCACTTCCCATCACAAATGGAATACTAAGCATTGCAGTGCTAAGCTTTGCCAAATCCAGAGGACTGGCTCTGCAAAGGATGGGGTCATTGTCCCCACTGCATAGTCTTGAGGTTTGTAAGAACATGCAGAATTGATAGAGAGAGGCATCATGTTTATTATACCATCATGCTTGATGTTGGCAGGGAATGGACTAGATTATCTCCACAGTTGGTGTATTGATGAGGGTGGGCTGTTACTCACATCTCTGATTTATGGGAGTTGGCATATACATTACTGCATTTTATACAGGATTTTGCTGTAATGCCATGGAAGGAAGAATGGCATTTGTCATGGCATCAATAGAAAAGCATCACCGTAAATACTGAAGTGCTTCACTGAAAAGTTCTGCAGTGATTTTGGTAATGTCACATCTACTTACATTTAGTTACATTTTGGATGGGTAAACTTTCTGGTAAGACTTTTCTGTTAACATCTGTTAAAATGTTTCCATCATAACATACACTTTGTGGCAATGAGAGCAAGAGAATTAGTGCTGTGGGAACAGTGATGTTCATATGCACACTGTGTTTCTCTGCTTCAGGGTTTTCTCGGGTTGCATTCTTGTCTCACGTAAATGACCTTGCAGCTATCAAGGAGAAGTTTTCCCCTGGAGTGTTTCAGACAGCTCTCAGGAGTGGCTTTCTGACTGCTGCCAGTTTCCGCAGAGAAAAGAGAAGCCAATGTGACATAGCTTACCCTGCCTCCAGCTGTATCTGAACATCTGTGTGACATTAATTTTGAAGGAGATGTATCTATGCTCACCCCAACCTCGAAGGGATTTCCAGGGGGAAGAAGGAATACCTCTTCATTCTGCCAGCCCCAGCAAAAAGGGTAGTTTCCATAGGCGTAGAGAACCTGCAAATGCTGCACATTTTTATGTGATTCCCCCATATTTCTAGAGAAGTCCCAAGATTTGTGGGATTTCCCAGCTCTTTCTACATCTGAGACTTTAATAGGAAGGTGGCTACTTGTGTCATTTGCTTACTTGATGTTTTTTAAGAGATTTTGAAAGCTAACTTTCATGACATTTCCAAGGAGCATCTGACCTAGATTAGTACTGTGTTGACACATCTCAGGTTTTGAAGAGTGGACATTTATCGTTTCAATGACATGCGTGACTTACTACAAGTTGAGATTGTTGCAAAACCTTTAGCCTAACAGTATCTGCTCTAGGAAGGGAGGGTTCTCAGTGCCATCAATGTCACAAACTTGCTACAGAAAACACACATGTTTTAGTGAAACCGCTACACAGGAAAAATGCCTGAATGAAACTCGTGTAACTCATAAATGTCAGTGCACTTATGTTTTCACTCTGTGTTTTCTTGTAAGTAGTTGCTATAAGGTTTCCTACTGAAGGGTAGCAGTTACACTTCTTCCAATTTGCTTTCTGCTAAACTTGGACCAAGAGAACTTTGTTCAGACCTAGGCATTGTTCCCAAAGTGAGCACAGGTGTTAAACTCAGTGTGCACTGGTGTTTTCATGTTTTAATTCCTTGAAACTTATGTCTATATAGGAATATCTAATAACTAGATACAATGGTAGATTTAATGAAGGAGAGTCTAAAACTTGGGGCTAAGGGATACTGCGCTGACTCAGCGTAATTTGAAAGGAAGCGAGAGGGAGCTGTGCATGGTGAGATGGTTGGATGAGCCCGTTACGTTCCTGTCGGGAACCGCTATCGGTAAACGAAAGACTGAAACCTCACTAAAGAATACAGCTGGTACTCAACCCAAGCATTTC